CACCACACAGGGCCCACTCCCTGCCAGCCCTCACCTCTCTCCAAGCTGCCTTGGGAGAACAACGGGAATTACCCTTGTTGCAGCTCTGTCAATTCGTGTTTGCCACGGAAAGGAGCAATTTGAAGTGTTCAGTTGAGCCCTGACCCTCTGCACGTGCCTCGGGCACTGATCTGATGTGGTTTCAGGTGAGCAGTGTGTTCGACACCACAAAGAAAGATGAGAAGTTTCCTGCACCTGCTGAACTGTCACCACCCCAAAACTGCGCAGGGCAGTGTCAGGATTTCTCCCAGAGAGCATTCCTGCCTTAGACACTCCAGATAGAGCTTTTCTGAGGGAGCATTTACATTCCAGAAGATGCATTTTGTTGGTTCTGCTCCACGTGCTAAAATTTGATTATTCCTGCTCTATTGCTTGCAGACACCACAAGCAAAACCATGATATCAGGAGTCCTGGCTCTCGGTGATGGCTGTGCACAAAGGCTGCCCCAGCCACGGGCAGGTGCCTGTTTCCATGTAAAACCAGAGAGGCAGCAAGTCCTCAGAGAGCACCAAAGTGCACAGTGCTGTGCAAGAGGCAGTTTCACTGCCCATGGGAGCACAGGGAGATTTATTGGTTTATTTTAACTAAAAAGTAATCATTTCAGAATGAGTCAGTGGATCCTCTAGCTGACCCTGTCATCCAACACCTTTTATAAATCCTCCTGCCCTTAAAGCATCCTTGTCCTTCTGAAGTACATGGAGCCTGATCCAGCTGAACACGTCCCTGCTCACTGCAGAGGGTTGGAACAGATGGGCTTTGAAGGTCCTTCCCACTCAAACCATTCCAAGTTTGAGACAAACTCCCGAAATCCCTTTACAAGAACCTGATGAGGTAAACAGTAACAGCAGAAAGTCCCAGCAGGAAAACTCTGCTTTTGCTGAGCATGAAACACTTGTAGGTGACTTAAAAAGCAGCCATTGCTGGGAATCCCTTCCTGACCTCCCACCTGGATCAACTGCAAACACATGGGAACGAGAGTAAATGTGGGAGGGCATTCCCTGCACTGGGGTAGCACAGCTCTCTGCCCACCTCAGTGTCTGCTCTCTGTGCCCAAACTCTGATTTAAACAACAGGGGAGGAGAAAACACTCCCTTAATCTCACTTTCCTCTGGAAGAACAGCCTGTGGAATTCCTCCCCTGGAAGAGCTTCATCCAGAAGCCTAAGACTGCTTAAACCTGTCCTAATTTAGACCACCAGCCCTTCAGCAACATTAAACAAAAAGCCCCTGCTATTTCTGCAGCCCAGCAGCCCCAGCAGAGCCCAGGAGGTGCCTCAGTGAGGATCCCCCGAGCTTCCCACAGCCCTGGCCCGGCCTGGCCCCGGGGACCTCCCCAAGGTTCTGCTTCAAACATCCTCAGCACTGCTATGGTTGAGCTGAAGAGCCCCAGACGCTGACAGGCCTTTAACCTCCCCCTGAACCATTCCTGTAAGGAACCTCCAGCACTGCTGGGAAATTGGGTCACATTTAAAAGAATTTGTGCAGCTTTGCCTCTCAGTTACTGGATCCCATTGTTGGAAAGGCTGACAGGACCCAGCTCTGGGAGAACTTTCCCATAGGCATGGATTTCCAGAGTGGCTGAGTCACTCCTGAACTCCCTTCTCTTGGATGTGCCTGAATAAACTGAGCTCATTAAGGGTTTGTTTTCCAGAACAGGAGCATTTTTGTGGCCTCCTCTGAGCTCTCCAGCATTTTCCTATCTCACTGGAGAGCTCCTGTAACTGGAGATGCTCTGGCAGCCTGATCTAACAACCACATGCACACACATGATCACTACAGCTCCATTTCCTCTAGAAAAAGAAAAAAAACACACAGCAGTGAATTCCAACTGTGTCACTGGTGCACCTCCACCCTGTCAGTCCCCTCTGTCTGGAAGCTGCTGTGGGCTGCAGCCTTTATGTGGCACCAAGATCCTTCTGCCACTTGGAACCACCCACCCAGGCACAGCAGGAACATCTCTCACTGCCCACCTGCCTCTGTGTCAGCAGAGGGGACAAACCTGCTCTGGGCTCAGGCCCCACCTGAACATGGATCTGGGAAGGGGAGGAGCTGAATCCCACCCATTTATGCCTCACAATTCACAACTGATGTGGGATTTGCTCTTAGGGTAACACTTAAACTTTGCCTTGCCGCACCACCTTTGTTTAATTAAACTGTCAGGTCGCATTAGAGTACAATTCCTCAGAAAAAATTCCAAGTATATGACACTTCAGTGTGTCATCAGCTGACTTAGCCAGACGCTGCAATCCCCTCTCAAGAAGGGACACGGGGGGGGGGGGGGGGGGAATCTCTTTTCCAACCACATGTTGTCCAGCTTTTAACCTCTATATTTGCTGCATTTGCAGCATCTAATCCTTTGCAAGGTTTCACCGGCTCCTTTTATTTTATTCCCGCCACCGACATAAGTTCAACAAACTGCACTTCCCCTAAAACACACGTGTCGTCTTTCCATAGCGGTGTGGACTTCCAGCCCCTCAAGGGCAAGAGGGCAACAGCCCTCGAGCTGCACCAGGGGAGGTTTGGGTTGGACACTGGGGAAGAAGTTCTTTGCAGAGACAGGGATCAGACAGGGAGGGGCTGGAGT